CGTCGTGGTCCTCCGCTTGCCGCCGCTGAAGCTCGTCATTGTAGCTCCTCCGTTGAACAAAAAACGGCGGCGCTCGTGCTTCTGCAGCCGGTCGAGCTCGTGCTTCTGCTTCTCCCCTGCAGCCGGTGGAGCTCGAGCTGCTGTTGCTTCCCTGCCTTCGAGTTCTTCTCTGAAGAAGTTGCAGGTTGCTGCTGCTGCTCCGATCCCTGCTATGAAATTTTGTTTCTGTCTGAAATTGAATCAGAGAAAGTAGTTTGATATTAACCTGGTGTGATGCACACATAACGAAATGAAGCAAGAAAAGGTTTTGTTGACTAAAAATGCAAGCACACCTAGAAAGTGTTCATAGAAGGTGTTCATAATGAGAGAAAGTTTGCTATAGCAGTTTTGCATGGGCCAGATTTCGCCTTGGATGATTGTTTCAGACAGCAACAAATTCAAACTAAAGTCCTTAGTAAGTGTGTGAACAATGAAGAATGTTTTGAATGTGTTTCAGATGCATGGATGGGCACTGCATCTGCATCTTCATCTTGATTAGTCTGAACAGTGAACTCTTTTGGCATTTGAGGTGCAGTCTGGAACTGGTTGATGCAACTGATTGGTTGATTCATCACTATTTTGGTGTATGATGCTGTAGCGTTTTCTTTCTATTCCAGGATTTCTTCTCTTCAACTCTCACTAGACAGAGCTGAGATGGCTACTGTACAACATGCCAACAATTGCTATTACATGAGATATTTTCTAAAACAAAAATGACCACCTAACAGACAATTGAAAGTGCCAGAATATTATATCCAGCTCCAATATTGACTCTGAACAACTGAGAATACAAAAACAGAGCAGTTGGAAATGATTTGCAGCAAAGCAGTCTAGCGCAGCAAAGCATCTGCTGCTTAAGGTTCAGAGTTATAGGCGCCCTGAATTTGTTGGTCATCGCAGCAGAGTATGTTTTGGAGTGAATCAATTTGTCTAGTAGAAACTCTATACATTACCAGCCAAATTGACGTCCAAGCAAAGAATTTAGAGTAGGTTCAGATAAAGCATGCCACAACACAAACAGACAGTGAGGAGAACATCTAAATTGTTTTCATACTTCTGAAACCCCACTGTCTTAAAAAAGATGTCACCAAGGCAACATCGGCAGCATATGCATTTAGAGTAGTAAGCTAAATAGAAGTACACTAGCCCTACCGCTCAGGCTGCAGGAGTTGAAAGCAAGTGCAGCTTGCTCTTAGCTTGGTTGCAGTTTGGAATAGATAATTATAATTGCTGTTCTCACCTGTTTAGCTCTGATGGTAGATAAGTCTGAACTGGAGGAATATTGTTATCTCCTCATTTCTGGATCATGTATCTTCTGTTTCACTAATTTCTGCAAAAATACTCTATTAAGAGAGGTGCAATATTTTTTTTACATCATTGCTCTCTAATGAACAGTTACCTGAGCAAGTGCTCCACTGCCGCAATGATGTTTGGGATTGATCTCAACATGAGTCCTCAACAAGATGATGCCTCAGAACCTAGATCAACAGGAAGAACACAACACAACACAACAATACAACAATGAAGAACCAGTCAATAATGAAGCAACAGGTACTACCTCCAAAACTTTTGCATTTCTATTTTCATTTTCATGATCTACTCATATTATTTGCAATAGCTAGATGACTTATCTTTTGCTCCTTATTTGACAGGGGAAGAAGCAAGTGGTGTAGAGGAACCAATTCATGAAGAAGCAAGTGGTGTAGAGGAAGCAATTCATGAGGAAGCAAGTGTTGTACAGAAACCAATTCATGGGGAAGGCAGAGAACTCACAAATGAGGAGAGATATGGTATTTATTTTGCACTAACGGTGATCAAGACCCAAAATGGACAAGTTCTGAAAAAAGACAAGGAGGTCATTGCTAGCCTACTCGATACAACCGTAAGAACTGTTGAGAGAATATGGGAAAGAGCTCTTAAACAGATTGAACAAGGGAGAAAGTTGATGTCTCAAATCAAAAGCCAGGTAGAGTTGGCCGCAAGCGGAAAGATTTGGAACTGTCGAGGGTGGTGACAATCCCATTGAACAGAAGGAGAACATTACGAGGTCTGTCAAAGGCATTGGGTGTAAGCTGCACGACCTTACACTCAAGGTTCGAGTGGGGTCATTTGAGGCGTCACAATAATAAGTTGAGGCCCCACTTAAACCTATCCAACATTGTAAAGAGATTGAAATGGTGCTTGGCTATGTGTGAAGATTATTGGTCTGCGACACTGGAATTAGACAACATAGCCTACATGGACGAAAAGTGGTTCAACATGACTGGGGAGGTGAACAACTACTATTTGCTTCCCAAAGAACCCGACCCCTTGCGCACCTTGCATCATAAGGATAGCATCGCCAAGGTGATGTTTCTCGCTGCCGTGGCTAAACCAAGATACGGCGAAGGTGGTGAGGTCATGTTTGATAGAAAGCTCGGCATTTGGGCATTTGTCACAGAGTCTCTTGCTCAAAGAACTAGTGAAAATAGAGATAAAGGGACGCTCGAGCTCAAATCATTGAAAGTCACACGAGATGTAATGAGGTATTACATGTGTGAAAAACTTATTCCTGCGATCCAAGAGCGCTAGCCGAACGAAGATGAAGGACGGACAATCTATATCCAACAAGATAATGCCACACCACATATTCTTCCCGATGACCCGGTTTTCCGGCAAGTCATAGAATAGACTGATTTGGATATTAAGTTGCTTCAACAACCTCCAAACAGTCCTGACATGAACATTCTTGATCTTTGCATATTCAGGTCTCTCCAGTCCCACACCGATAGAAGAGCACCTCAAAGCATCAGGGAACTGATAGAAGGTGTGGAGGAGGAATATCGAAACTACCTAGTTGATAAGCTAGCTAGAAGCTTCGTGACGCTGCAGTCATGCATCCGAGAGGTAATGAGAAACAAAGGAGCAATAGACTACTCGATCCCTCACATGAGCAAGGAACGCCGGCAGGCAAAAGGACGGCTTCCTATAGCTCTATCTATCGATCGTGAGCTAGTTGAACAGACCATAGCCTTTATAGAAGATGCAGAATCAATCTTAGCAATAGAAAAAGAGCCGAAGCAGCATGAAAAGAGCAACAAGAAAAGAGCCGCAGCAGCCTTGAAGAAGCAGAAACACCCTTCGAATACCAGCAGCCTCCAAGCAGCAGGAAAAGAGAACCAGGAGCCTTCAAGCAGCAGAAACACCCTTCGAGTACCAGCAGTCTCCAAGGAGGAGGAAAAGAGCAACAACAACCTTCAAGAAGCAGGAAAAGAGCATGAGCAGCCTCCAAGCAGTAGGAAAAGAGCAGCCACCTCCTTCAAGTGGCAGAAACACCCTCCGAGTACCAGTAGCCTCCAAGCAGTAGGAAAAGAGAACCAGGAGCCTTCAAGCAGTAGAAACACCCTTCGAGTACCAGCAGTCTCCAAGAAGGAGGAAAAGAGCAACAACAACCTTCAAGAAGCAGGAAAAGAGCACGAGCAGCCTCCAAGCAGTAGGAAAAGAGCAGCCACCTCCTTCAAGTGGCAGAAACACCCTCCGAGTACCAGTAGCCTCCAAGCAGTAGGAAAAGAGAACCAGGAGCCTTCAAGCAGCAATAAAAGAGCACCAGCAGCCTCCAAGCAGCAGGAAAAGAGCAGCTCTTCTTTACTTGGGGTCAGCTAGTGCTCTGGTTGGTGCTAGAAATGACCAGTTGATTAAGAAGATTCAGATAAGTTGGTTTGGAAGAAGATTCAGATAAGGTGATTTTGGCAGAAGATTCAGATAAGCTGATTTTGGCAGAAGATTCAGATAAGCTGATTTTGGCAGAAGATTCAGATAAGCTGAATAACCATTAACGGTTTTTGCATCTTTCTCTGTAAAATACTCCTGCTTATAATTAATTAATTAATTTCTCGAGGGAAGAAAGAAGAAGAAGATAAGAATGGGATTTAATTGGATGGTCCTGCCATCTCCTCTTGCTTAATGAGCTGTTAATGTGCCCCCCTTTATAATTAATTAATTAATTTCTCAAGGGAAGAATTCTTATGCATTTCTCAGCGTAGGCAAAAAAATGGCTGAGTTAGAATAGATCAGCCTTAATGAATATGCTGACCCCAAGCATAGAACTGAAATCAACCCATGGACATTTAATTAAACAGGAGAGTAGCAATCTACTCCTGCAATTATTTTCATATATATGTAATTCAACTTGTGTAATCTGTCTAGGGTGTGTAATCTGTCTTCACCTTGTGTAACCATGCTATTTGTTTTACTGGAAGGTTAAAAAAACCTCAGTAACTAAATGGACAAGCAGTGGGTAGTTACAAATCGTGCCCTAAGTTTGCTTTACACTTTTGCTTTCCTCTTTTGCTAGAGCATTGAGGTGTTATCCGTAAGGTTGAACACATACAGAAAGCAATTCAGTTACCTTTTTTTGTGTCAAAATTTCACCACCTGATCCTTGGAGAAGCCATTATCTGTCATATTTTAAACCTAAGTAAAGAAGACATCATAGTTCATAAAGTGTTAGCAGATGGCATCAAAATCACTGTAACCAAAGCCACACATGAAAGAATAGACCATGCTATAGAATGCACACGTACCACCAGCGGCCAGCGGCCAACTCTGCACGGTAAATCCTTGGCAAGATTTCACAGGCTAAATAATTATGGACTTTAAGTGAACATCTGGAACAACTTGTTGGCTCTGATTATCTGCAATTAAAAAGTATATGAACTACACCGATAAAAGCATACCGACAGATAAACAATCCGTCACTAGTTTCGCTGAAAAATGTGAGAAATTTTAATTTTATTTACTCCAGGGAGTATTTCTACTTGGAGTACATGCCTTGCAACACCATTGTACTCGAAGATTGCATAGAACAAAATTCATAATATGCAATGGTTCATAACTTAAATGATTCCTGGATGCACTAGTAATCATTTTGTTTAAAACTTACGACAAGGTCTTTGCAACAATGGTGCTTCACACAATGCTACCAACTTTCCACAATGACTAATAAACAACTTCTCAAGCACAGGAAATATTGTCTGTTCTTCTTGCCTCTCATCTATTTGCCGCCATCTCTCAAAACCCAACAAATGCTCTAGTGTAAGCACCTTCAGTTTTGGAAAAGTGAAGATTGTACTAGATCTGAACAAAACTTGCAATCTTTGGCAACCAACAAGATGGATCTCAACCATGTTTTGCAGCATACCCATGCACTCTCCTCCATAGGAATATATCTTCAGAACCTGCAGCCCACCACGTGGTTTGAAATTGTCGAGAACCTTGCTATCACAAACAGAATTCCATCTTAACGTCAGTTCTCTGAGATCCTTCTTGTTTCCAAGGTTTTCCACTTTTTCCTCTGCTGCTATAACATTCTCTATCTGACATAGCTCTAACTGCCCACCAAGGTTTAAATGCTGCAGCTCTCCGACATCACTGCAATCAAGGCCAGTAACTGGTGCCACAAAACATGTGAGCGTCTGCAGCTTTTTGAGTTTTCCGAGTTCTGGAGGCATGGACTTCAACTCCGGACATCCATGAGTGTAGAGGTGGCAGAGGGAAGTCATATACTTCATTTGCCTCGGAAGTCGATCAAGATAAGAGCAGTAGGAAAGGTCCAGCATTTGCAGGTTATATAGAATACTTATATCTTCAGGAAGTGATTTGATATAACTCCACGAGAGATCAAGGTACCTCAGGTGATGTAGATACTTTGGTTTTAGTGGAAATGATTCTGTCCACATACAGAGCTCCAAGGCATGCAAAGAGCTGTATTTTGACAGATGCTTCAACGAGCTTTGCATAGGACTATCACATATGAGTGTTTGAATGGCAGGGGATCTTTTCTCCAAAGAATCATTCAAAATACCTTCTGTTCCTTTACATGATAAAAACAAATGCCGAGCAGTATCTCCAAGCCACTCAATTTCACTTAGCTCCATAGTCGCAGCAACACATTCCTTTTCCATAACAGACATTGCAATATCATGCATAAGATCGTGGATTTTACATGAATTTCTTGAATAATACCCCCAGTCTTCTTTACTCTTCTCTATATCCAGAAAGAATGACCTTGAAGCAAGCTCATCAAAAATAAGTTGTCCAATGATTTCAAGACTATCTTCCTTGTGTTCAGGGATAAAGCCATTTGCGATCCATAGTTGGATCAGCTTCCCTACATCAATCTTGTAATCCTTTGGAAATACAGCACAAAAAGCAAAGCACTGCTTCATGTGCGATGGCAAATCGTTGTAGCTAAGCTTGAGTATTGGCAAGATTCCAGTTTCCTCAGTGCAAATGCTGCTTCTAGATGCTATAGCCTTCCATTCTTTCACGGTGGCCTTGGTACGAAGTACAGAACCCAGTGCACTTGCAGCTAAAGGAGAGCCACGACATCTGTTCACAATCTGATCAACCATCTTGGCTAGCTCAACAGGCTTTTTTTTCGGGAACTGAATGCTCCAGCCTCAATAATTTCCTTTAAGAATCTATCATCCAAACGACCGAGAATGTGGGTATCTGCACCCATAATTTCAGCAACTCCTTTATCACGAGTTGTTGTCAGCACCGCACTACCCATGGCACCATGCTTAAGATGGTCCTTCAGCCTTTCCCACTTATGGACTTCTCTGTTCCAGACATCATCCAACACAAGGAGATACCTCTGCCCGCTGACCAATTTCTGAAGTCTCTCTAGTTGTGGTTTGTTTGTATCATCATTTTTCTTGGGAGATGCTTCAACTATACTCTTGGCTAGGGAGTTCATATCAAAGACATCAGAGACACATACCCACAGCAGCAATTCGAAATGCTTCTGAATTCTAGGTTCATTGTATATGAGTTGTGCTAATGTGGTCTTGCCAAGGCCACCCATTCCAACGATGGGAACAACTGCAAGATCTGCATTGTTAGCTTGACCAAGTAGTGTAGCAACAATATTCTTCTTATCTTTGTCTCTGGACCTGCTTGCAATTTCTTGTGGGTCAGTGATAACATAATCGGTCTGCCTCCACTCCTTGGACACCGGCGGCTGCGGTTGATACTTGAACCCAAAGACCTGCATCTCTGCTATGAGGACCTCAACGGCTTGCAAAATCAGGCAAAGCTTGCGGCCCATTTTGTAACGGAACGCAACACGATTGTGAGTAGGGAAGAGTTTTATTACATCGAAGCCAAGCTTGTTGTAGTGCCCCTTCTTCCTGGCTTCACGGCGGAGCGCTTCATACTTGAACTCGTCAAAGACTTCATTTGCTTCATAGGCCACAGTCTTGAGCTCCTGAAGCCAGGCTTTGGCACCTTCTCTATGAGCCGTGGCCTGCTCCTCGGCATCGGTGATGACGTCGAGGATGGCCGGAAGCTTACGCTTGAGAATCTTGTGCTGCTCCTCCATTCCCTCCATCACCTTGTACTGGTCCAGGAGGGAGCTGGATGCCTTGCTCATCAACAGGGACACTAGTGGCCGGATGGCCATGGCGGCCACCACCTCCGCCATTGGAACGCTCACACGATTGGCACAACAATGGGAAACACGAGCACGGAGTGGAATGGAGAAGAGAATGGTGTGAGCAAGACGTGCATGCTTTGCTTGTATGAAATTGGAAGCCAACGTGATTATTGGCTTCTGGCGAGTCAAGTAGATGAGTTTGATTGCTAGGAACCCATCACAATTATCCAATTGTGTAACAGCTCAGCACAGGGCATTCTTTTTGGGCTAAAATAGAATAGGGACAACCAGCATACCTTGGTAACAGCTAGGGGTATCTTCAGTTCTTAATAAGGCACAGCTAGAGCGCAAGGCAACAGACAGTCAGAATATTGCAAGTAGAGCAGTATATTATGAGTTTATATCAGGTGCATCCAATGCATGTTTTCAAAAGTGACGTTCCATTGGTTGTGACTTTAGCAGATGGTAGAGGAATGCAAATTAAAAAAAAAAGTAGCAGGAATGCAAATTAAACAATTACCTCCACTGACTACACATGTGACAACACACCTACTGTGCAACAACAAAACATACTTATCTCGAGTACCTGCCTCCCAAGGACACCAGAACATTAGTTTTCTTGATTAGTTGAATCTTGAATGCGTCACATACTTGTCTAAATATGATTGGGTACAGGATTGATCTTGGAATGATCATAATCAGCTGTCAAAGGATTAATATTTTATTCATATAGGCAGATATAATACATTACCTACTGATGGGACACAAGAAAGAGGCATGCTTGCTAACCTTATGCTGAGATTCATGCAAGTTGTGGTTACACACTCCACGGTTTTTAGGAATAAATATATAATTTTAATCTGCTCATGTACCAAACAAACGTAGAAACAGTTAACAACCACGATGAGATTATATGCAGCATCATTTTAATCCTCATGAGATCAGACAGCCATACTTAGTGCCAAGAATGAACAAGGTGGTTTGCATTTACGATGCAGGTTTTAAATTAGTCAAATTGCTAAACCAAGGCACTGGCAGACATATGGGACAATGTGCACTTCAGTTACAAAACGTCCACTTTTTTTAGAAAAGGAGGAATACCCCCGGCCTCTGCATCTGGACGATGCATACAGCCACTTTATTGATTATTAACACAAGACCTTACAAAGTCGTACAACAGTAAGACCAAAGCCACCATCTTCGCAACCTCTGTCGCTACTCCTATCTAACCGATGAAGGGGCGTTGATGGTCTGGGCCTAATACCAAACAGACCTCGCAGCCAAACCTAACATCTGAGACCTGAGGTCCCAACCAGGACTCCTTCCGGGTATGGGCACCCACCAGTCCGGCGTGCTCGTCAACCCGACCCCCTGCCGAGTATGAGGCCGCCGCAGCCACGTACCATCAATCCATCTTCAGAGCTGAACTGTTGCATGAACCGTGCCAGGCCTCACTGCCATCGACGCCACCACGACGCCAGACAGCGCCACCATCCTGCACTCGTCCATCATCACACGCCCACCGGCGAGACCCCCGCTGCTCCATGCCGCTGAGACCCGCCGTTGTCGACGTGCCAGATGCCACGCCGCTCCTCCTCTTGTCCCCTTGCACTTCAGTTACAAAACGTCCACTTGCAGGTAGGAAAACAGTATATGTCAGTACATCCAGAACATTGCAAGTGGAGCATTATTTTGTGTATTTATGTCAGTATACATCCAACGGACTTTTCAAAAGTGACGTTCCATTGGCCGTGACCTTACCAAAGGTACGAAATTTCTGTCCAATTAAAAAAGGTCCCAGTAAGAGAAATTAAACAATTACCTCCACTTACTAGACGTGTGATAGCACACCTACCGGGCAACAACAACATATACCTATCTCGAGTACCTGCCGCCAATGGAGGACTGCAATATTGGTTTTTGTGGATTCACTGAATCTTGATTCTTGAATGCATCACCCCTGCTGAAGAGAGAAGACCCAGAAGCAAGTGGTTATTTCTTGTCCCTTTTTAATGACTCTTATTATCGATCTCAGAAATGATCATGATGATTATTTCTTGTTCATATGGACATATGTAATACTTAATACACTGATATCATAAATCATAACTTGACCATCTTCCGTTATTTGATGATGACAGAAAGGCGTGTGAGCATGCCTTCCAATTTGATAAGTTCAATATGTTGTGTTGCACTGTTGCTGCAAGACAGTGAAACCCCCCATAAGGGGACATACGAAAAAATTCATATCATCTCAACGAGCTCAAGTTAACTAATTAAAAATCATAACAAGCCTAACTTTCTAACTGTACAGTGAAGCAAAAAATTAAAGATAGAGAGGGAGAAGCATGCTAACCTTACGCTGAGACCAATGCAAGTTGTAAATTGTAATTACTAGCGACGCTCCTCAGTTCTTAGCACGGAATAACCCTAGAATTTTAACCTGTTGACGCATCAAGAAAATATAGGACGACAGTTGCAGCAAGCTCTGATGAGTGAGGTTGTATGCAGCATCTTTTTAACTGAAACAGCACGGAAGAGGCCTACTAATACAACAGTATATTAACAGGAGACTTGCCATCATACAGATGTGGATTGCCAATTTACAAGATGAACTATGTGGCGTCTTTCGGACTCATTCCAACGGTAGTTGGTATGAATTTTTCTTTCCAAATACTACAAAAAGTTGCAGGAATGCAAATTAAACAATTACCTCCACTGACTAGACGTGTGACAGCACACCTACTGCCCAACTACAACATATATTTATCTCAAGTGCCTGCCGCCCAGGGAGACAAGAACAATGGTAT